AGGTAAATTACTTTCCAAGTGCACTGTCAGATACCCTGCCCAGTGACTTTGGCTTGTAACTCATTTGCCCATCACCCCATAGTTGAAAGTGGAGCTGAAAATTAACAGCTGGTCATAGTGCTGCTTCGAATAAAACCAGGGATGCCAGAAAGAATGAATACTAGAAGGAACTAGCAACTTCTAGAACTTTCCTGGAATGGCATCATTCATCCAAGTTAAGCTTTTAAGAACATTATTCTGAAATAACTCTTTACTACCCATGCATTAAAACACTATCTTTTATTTCTTAGAGGAAAAACTACATCCTTGTCTTAAGCAAAAGTCTTTGCTTACTTTGAGAATCTGAATAGCTATTTATCAGAATAAATGAATACAATTTATTTCACATAAGTAGAGGCTGTAGTTGTATACAGCAAGCAAGGGTCCTACACAGTTTTTGAGAGGTTGATTTATAACAAACATACATGAAAAACAATCAATTAAAAATACATTCTCTTCAGGATTGTAATTTATCTCATGGAAATGCATCATAAGGAAGTAATTCAAGGAAAGGAGAAGCTATATGTACAAAACTGTTGATAGCATTGTTATTTATGACAGTCAAAATAAAATTAGTTTACAATCCAATGTCCTACGATAAAGGAAAGGCTGAGTAAATTGCAGTATGACCATTACATAGCCATAAAGACCATATAGCAACATGGCAGAGTGATTGCAAAAATATTGGGAGTGGGGACGAGAGTCAAAACACGTGTATATAGATAAGAGCATTCAGGGAACTATAATGGTTTCGTCAGGATGTTAGAATTATGAATATAAGTGGTTTCTGTTTAATTTTCTTTATTGTTCTATTGGAAACAACAAAGAACAAAACAAGAAACTGCAAGAACAAAAAAATAAATTTATCCAGGTTACCGGCCATGATTTTCCCTCAGATTCTTTTCTGGCTGTTTGTCTTATGCATGATTCAACTGAGGGTGCTCCAGGAGGGTGTGCTTTGCTGCTTTGTGGGAAGGCTGTATGTAAGACCCAGTGAAGAGTCTTCCTGTGGCTTTTATGTGCCCACGTGGGTTGACACCCTGATCGTCTGTCTCTGAAGCCGTTTGTTTTGCATCATCATCGGAATATTTTTTTCAGTACCGAGAACAAATTTTACAATCATCTATTTATTCTCTCTTGCCACAGATTCCTCATAATCAGTTTCATGAAACTAGAAGCCAGTTGTCCCTATTTAGATGTCGATTTGTAGATGCCAAAGGGAACAAAAAAATGTGGAACTTATGTAGGAAACAAATCTATCAGTCTTTAATACGACGCTGTGTATAGACCTGCCTTCCCACCACTGGCACCAAAAAATAGTCCCCCATTCCTGAAATTACTGTGGATTCACATGGTTGTCCAGCTTGGTTAAGAGCTAGAATTAACCTTAGGTTGAGTACACTGTTAATTTTTTTAGGTTGAAGATTCTCCAAATGCCCTTACTCCTTAAGATGGGCGGATATTTATGAGTGAAATAAGCAAACCCCTGGCTTATCTGCTTACAAGGTAGGCTGGTGACTGTTAGATTTAGAAAGGGTGAAATAAAAATGGCCAGGGAGCTTCTTGGAGGCTGTTGGTGATAACAAATGCTCAGCTCATTAGTGCTGGGAGAACAGAGCAGAAGCTTATCAGGAATCCTCTACCAGCAAGGCCCAGGGACACTGGGGGAGCCAGGCCCCACGTGCCTGTACACTTACAACCAAGGCAGGGGTCCTTCAAAGAAAGGGAAGAATCTTGGCTAGGCTTGGGGGCTCACACCTATAATCCCAGCTACTTGGGAGGCTCAGGCAGGAGAATCACTTGAACCTGGGAGGTAGAGGTTGCAGTGAGCCGAGATCCTGCCATTGCACCCCAGCCTGGGCGACAATGCGAGACTCTATCTCAAAAAGGAAAAAAAAAAAAATGGAAGAATCTTGATTTTCCAGGAAGTGAGAGACCTGAGATAAAGAAAACTACTTCCATAAAGTAATCAAGCAAACAAGAGTATTTATCTAATTAATCTTAGAGGAGAAACAAACCTGAAGGAGGACGAAGACAGGGAAATCTTGGAAGACTCTTTGAAATTTTACCAAATTAAACGGCTTAAGTTCATGTGCCTCTATTGTACATAATACACATGCTGAATTTCTTTTATACTGAAGTGAAATTAACTCTGCTCCTTAAATACCAGGCAAGTGCCATAAACTGAAAGAAGCTTTGTAGAGAACCAGCAAAACCAAAGAAAGGAAAGCTCATAAAGTCCAAGGGTTCAGGGTTTTGGAGCACATTTTATTTTACAATACCAGAGAATTAACATCTAGTAGCAGCATAATACAAAATGAAACACCAATCTATTTAAAACTAATGTTACAGGAACTGTATTTTGAAATGGTAAGGAAACAAAATAGGAGATTTAGAGACCAGTCAATACAAATGCATAAAAAAACCCAAAACTCTCATTTCATCATCAGTGCAAACAAAAATCATTTGTAATAACATACATAAGAATACATTCACTTACATTCACAAAGTGGATTATCATTTTTATTTTACATGAAATGTGTCAAAATATATGTAGGTATATCTTCACATTTGGAAAGGCAAGATAAATCTTCAAATTTAAATATCCACGTTTCACTTTAAATAACCAAAATATTAAAAATAGCAGCAACACTGGTCTTTAAATACGTCTAATATTACAAGAGATTGTTCACATAATATAGGCTATTTGGGTAGCTCTTTCATTATTAATATTGTTTAATATCCATATACAATTTAGAAACTCTAAGGTTCTGGTCTGATCTCTGAATAACTTGGAGTCTAGATTCAATAAATACTATACAAAGAATTATAAAACACAGACTGCAGGACATTCTCAGGAACAAGGAGGAAATCATACTCAAAGGTTTTAGGGAAGAATCAGATATGAAGGCGTACAGGAAATCTGCAGGATTTCCAAGGCAAAAAGGTGTGATCTGACAAGCTCCCTGAAATGTTAACAAACTGAGTCCAGAGAAATGTGTGAATGTCTCGAAGGCACTTTCTCCTCTTCATCCTTCCATGTTCCCTTTGAATATGGCATTTAAGTGATGAACAACGTGGGAAGTTTCCCAATAAACAGGGAATAGAATAATTTCTCACCAGGAGGCAAGACACTGGATCAGGAGTTTGTTTCTCAGCATTTACATTTATTCTCATGACCAAAGGCATAAAAACCAAGATTTCAACTGGACCTCGTGTATTTCATCCTAGATGGTGGGAAAGTATTTCTAGCCGCATTCTCAATGTAAGCCACTGCACCAACGTGCTAATCCTATTGGCTTAGAAAGAAACCCCAGATGGGGTTCCAGGGGCTTCCTCAGATCTGGATTTGGTTACAGAAGTTGCCCCTGTGACTGGGGACTTTTTTTATATTTCAGTGGTTTTTCAGAAAAGGTCAATGTTTAAGTCTTTATATGGAGTTGGATGTTTGTTTGCCTTATATTACTACAGGTATCACTCTCTGACATGTCAATAGTTTGTACCTATTTTCAAACCACTTCATATACTATTTCAATCGATTCTCACAAAAAAACGTGTGAGGAAGTCAGGATAGGCATCCAAGTGCTTATTTCGAAGACCTGGAAAACTGAGGTTCATAGAGACCAAAGTGACCTACCTGTCCACAGTCATACGTGAGTGAACCAGTATGGATCTTTGGCAGAACTTAGCTCTATACAATGTTTACTGATTTTGAAGAATGCGGCTTGCTAATAGCTGTTTCTGAAGAATGAAGTAATTTGAAGGGGGTAAATAAAAACGAGTTCAAGAGAAGAAAGGCAGCGAGAAGTGGTGTCAGTTGGCAGTTAGTATCATGAACTTGAAAATGAGCAAAGTGCATTTCATGTTTAGAACACAGACATTTAAAAATATGTAATACTTAAATCTTCCAAATTGTCCTATGTTGGCCTTGATTTACTATGTCTTTAAGTATAATATCTGAGGCTACATCGCTATTTACTGAGGCTGCCATTGAGACATACGGTGACCAAGAAATTTTTACATGAGTTCTACAATTTCCCAAGAGACTGGTGAAAATGTTATTGCCTATTCTCAGCGCCCCATTCCTACCCCATTTCACTTCTAGAACAATTCCATTACAGATGTGTGTGTGTGTGTGTGTGTGTGTGTGTGTGTGTGTGTGTGTGTATATATATATACACACATATATACCACTGTTAGGATATCTTTCCTGAACATTATGTGTGTGTGTGTGTGTATACACACACACACACACACACACACACACACACAATTCCTACCCCATTTCACTTCTAGAACAATTTCATTACAGATATGTGTGTGCATATATGTGTATATATTTATATATAAATACACGTATATATCTGTGTGGAATTGTTCTAGAAGTGAAATGGGGTAGGAATTGTGTGTGTGTGTATATGTACATATATATATATATATGTACATATACACACACACATATATATATGTACATATATACACACACATATATATATGTACATATACACACACACATATATATATG